AAAAAAAAAGACTATCTAGATAAGGTTAAATAAAAGTATATAAAATAAATAAATAAATAAATAATATTAATGTTCCTCCAACCACACATATTAAACAATCTTATCATCCACAATTTTTTTATCTCGTTATATGAGAAAAGTGGAATATGAATCTAAACACAAAAACTAAATAAAGTTACAATCAGAGATAGTCAAATCTAAACATTTATTGGTTGGAGTTTTTAAGGGAGCAAAGTGTCATGGAACGAGACTTTAGCTAGACCATGTGCGACACTTAGCTCGGAACTAACCCCTTAAACCCGAACCATCCCCAACACTTGGCGTGGCCCTCCCACAAGGCTGGAGGTTAGCAACACGTAAATATGAAGGTAGGAAGTTGGGAAAAGAAGAGAATTTATTAAGATCGCAAGGAAGTGTACAAGAGCTTGAGTACACAGCTCCTTTATGCATTCACTCACCTAGTAGCTCACTCTTTAGCCAACCAACTCTCTTGCTAGCCCACTCTTGCTGGCCTCCTCTTCTATTTGGCCTCCCTATTTATAGAAGAGGTTTGGCCCAAGTCCCTTCTGCAGATGAGTCTCTAGAACACTCCACAAAATTCCCTCATATGTACAATTTCCAGAACCTTCTCCACTCTCCCTTCTAACCTAGTCCTACATTATTCTAGAACAACCCATTCTAGAATTATGTACAAGGCCCTAGGAGTTTCCCAGGTCGAGCTTGGCCCAACAAGCCCTTCCAGACCCCTGTATGGAACTATTCTCGCGCGCCCAGCAGCTTCTAGAGAGTTCTAGACCGCTTCAATCTGCAGCAAAGGTGTCGACACCATAAGCCCGTGTATTTCTCGCGTATCGACACTTTTTCCGCTGCTGGCATTGCATGCTCTGTGGACGCTCTTGGCTACTCCTGTGTGCGCTAATGCCTTGAACCTGATCGCACCCCCGCATGCCAGCGTCTCGACCCAGTTGCCCATGTGTGCACCCGTGTCTCAGGCCAAGACAGTCTTGCGCGCTCTCGCATGTCGCCCTCGACTTCTCCCGCGTGTCCTATCCGTACCCTCATGCCACGGCCCTGGCATCGATGCCTCCACTGGCAAGGCCCGCTGCGTCTTGAGCGTTCCACCTTGCGCTTATGCCCTCGTATGCATAGGTGTCGTAATCGCAACCCCGTGTCACGATACTGACACCTACATCGTGCATGCCCATGTCCACGCTTCCGCTTGCACCCATGCTTATGCCTGTGCTTGTGCTTGTGCTTGCCCTCGTGTCTGCGCTTGCACTTTGCGACGCTGTATGGCATGCCCCCTGGACGCTGCACACTCCTTCTGTGACGTGGCCGTAGCTCCGTGCCTTGATGCCCTTGACTTCGGCCCTCAAACTTGCGTACCATGACAAAAGGCTGCATATCTTTGTCTTCCAGAATATACCCATTTAGGGTCTCCATCTCAGAAACATTGATCTCTTTCTCTTCTAGAATACCCAGTTGTTTTTGTTGGGGAGCGAATGAACAAACCGTGAAATTGCTTTTACTGGCACGTGTTATTGAGATGGCACGTGACTTTAATTTTTGGAAAGTTACGATTTATCTACTCAACAACTCCTTTTGCATTTGCAGTTTACAGCTCTTCATTTCACACTACACATTATTTCCCAAATTTTCAATAATTTACTGTAATGTATTATCAAATCAAATCCAAAGTAGAATTAAACCTCCCACGGATAGCGAGAATATTTCGAGAAAGGTTTAAGGAGGTTCTTTGCATTAGGATGATCCCACTCCATTGATTCCCACCATTCTTTATCTGTCTTGATTTCTTTGAGACGAGGAGGATGAGATGGTTGGCCATTATCAAGTAGGGGAAGCTGCACAGGGATCCTCTTCAACTCCTGACATTCGAATATTACAATTTTTTCAATAGAATCACAAACCACAACTCCTTTGGCACTGTAGATGCTCTTCAATTGTGGTAAATTAATCAACCACAATATCCTTAACTTAGGAAAAATGAATTTATCTGATGATGCATCTGAATCTGATGATGCTATTATTTCCTCCATTTGTTTGCAATTCCAAACTCTAATCTCCTCTAAGTTTTGGAGAGCTTGATGTAGTGCAAGTGGAAGCAATTTCCTCATTCCTGAACAATAATCTATTATAAGTGTTTTAAGATTGGAAAAGATGTGTGGTGGTGTTGTTGCTCCTTCCACTCTCACAAGTTCACATAACTTAGGCAATATCAGAAGGTGCAGCAGTTCAAGCTTATCAAGTACTAGACAACACAATGAGGAGGAGGAGGAGGATGAGTCCAAGTCAACCACGCACTCCATCTCTTCACTTTCCCAAATAAGGCACTGTCTCAACTCATTTGCTTCCATTTCTAACACAACTGTTTTTTTCAAGATGCTTCGCATGTTTTTACCCCTAATTATCCATAAATACTCAAGGTTATTTGGAAGCGCTACACATTCTTCCCCGATCTCGCAATCAATAATTACAAGCTCATATTTGCTCACTCTATTCATGTCTCTTATTGTCCCAACTCCAAGACTATAAGCAATAGCACTTTGGAAATCTTTGAACTTGTTGACAAAATGATTAAAGTCTTGTATGCCATCAAATTGACATTCTAAAGTCTCCAACTTCTTCAATCTAGCAACCTCTTCTAAATTTCTTATTATTGTAGTTTCT